GGGTGACGCGGCAAATTTAAATTCAGCCTTCCCGTACCCGCGGGTAACACGTACGGCCCCGTAAAATCAGTATCTCGGGAACCACGGAAGGTAGAAGGCTGCAATTTTGTGAGCATGTCCCCCACCCATGTACTACCCGGAAAATTTAAATTCAGCTTTCCCCTGCCCGCGGGTAACAAGTGCGGCCCCGTGAGAATTTTTGACAAAATTATTATCTCGGGAACCACGGTGAAGCTGAAATTTTAGAGTAATGACCCCCTGCCCACGCTCAACCTTACCTATTCAAATTAAGCGTTCCCGCGCTCTCGGGTATCACCTACAGGCTGGTGAAAAATTTTTACGGGTAAATTATTATCTTGGGAATCACGAAGAGATATTCACCTTTTAGTGTTTCGAATTCAGCTTTCATGCGCATGCGCGTGAAATTTCTAAATTTTTTTCAATGTTTCAATTATTTTTGCATAGACTAAAGTACAACGCAGTGAAAATCATTAATAGGCAGTCGTTCAATGGGCTGAATTGCACAAAACGCATAATCGTATCGGCTAATCTGGTGTGCGTTGTTATGCGTTTTGTTTCCGTGCTTCTAGATGTGAATGCACTGCGTGCATATAAAGAGCATTTCTTCCACTAGTTTTTTTGACAGTGGTACTGAAAAGGTGGGTATGATTTTTTGGAATCGATACTCGGAGGATATGTTGTGATGTATGACACCTCTCACGGCTGGTCGACTTTTTACTGGACGAAAATAGGATATCTTGTCCGAGGGCTTACTTCTTTTTCACTGATAAGAACTACGAAAAGCTAATTTTGAAGAATAGCTTCTTCTTGTTACCTTCCTCTCTTGGCTCCCCTCTTCCTCCGCTTTCTCACTTGTTAATCCCTGTTTACGAAAAGCTCTTATAATGCAAAATTTTGCTCTATAAAAGTGCGAGTTTTGATTCTCGGCGCCCATACTTCTCAGTCGTAACACAGCGCTGGTCTACATCCTTCTCTCGTTTGCGTGCTCGCAACGAAATGAAGTAATGTCCTGCATTAATGATTTGGGAGTACTGTCGTTGGCTAATTGTGTCTGGTAATTGCAGTAGAAGTTGTCGGGTCACAAATAGCGCTTGGGCACGATTCCGGCTCAGAGCAGCAGCAGCAGCGTGCTGTCCCGCCAAGCCATGAACAAGTTCCGTATGTTACGCCACCCGGTATGATAATTTAGTGTAAAAGTGATTCATTCATCTACTCCTTTTTGAGTTCAGTTGGATGATATTACTTTTGCTTTGGTTCTTGCGATCAGATTGGATAATGAAACAGAGGAGCTCGCAATAGCAAAATTTTCCATGAATTTTTACAGCCGAAGCGAAATTTCAAAGGAAAAATAAGATTCTATTACTGTGAAAAGTATTTGAAGATATAAGAAGAAAGAAAGTGTTGTGAATAGCGGTCCACTACAGGGTAAGCACACGGCAGAAGGCGTAAATAATATCGAAGTTTAGTATTTGAGAAAATTTTCCGCATGGAATTTGTATGTGAAGTATTAAAGAGGAAAAGAGAAAAAAATATCAGGGAGAGGAAAATAATCAGTTGAACAAGAATATTTCGGTCCATTAAGTCGTATACATTCCTGTTGAACACTGCAACTGGACCTTGTCAGTACGAATTGATTGTGGTACCATATAATTTTAGTCAAATGTTAAAGCGTCTGGTTAATCAGTATAACTTTTCTGTACAAAAATTCGTGGAAAATTTTGTTGAGGTGAAATTCAGAACAGAAAAAAAGGGCGTCTTTTAACTATTGTCGAAGGCTTGAGCAATTCTCAGCAATAGTTCAGAAAGCAAAAAAAGAAACTTGCAGGTTTATCGCATCTTCACGCAACAAACGGTAACCTGGCGCTGAATGCAGCTGCGCTGAGTAGCATGCACAACGTTGGAACGGTGGCAGCAGCAGCAGCAGCTGGTATGATTGGACAGTATACTCCGGTAGCATCCGTTGCAGCGGCTGCAGCTGCAGCTGCTGCAGCAGCGTCACGCGCTGGTGCCAGTACTTCAAAAACTTCGCAGGTTCATCAAATTTGTGTTTCTTTTTTAACATCTTTTTTTT